GAATTAGCATCAGGCTACTTCAATATCAGGGACGTTTGGGTGCCTGGTCACAGCGGAATCGCTGGGAATTGTAAGGCCGATGAGCTGGCCAGGGAGGGTACCCTTGTCCCGCTCACATCGGAATGGGATCGACTTGGTTCTCCGCTAACGTCTTGCATTCTGGCTCTGGACCTACTCCTACGCGATGATCAACTCCTGCGCGACTGCGCGATATTTCTGGCCGAGAGTGGATCGTAGGAGGTCGGGGGATCTTCTCGCCTGTATTGACAGTATTTGCGTCTCTATTTCGAACTAAAGTTTTCAGACTTAGTGCAATAGTTCTTAATTTTTTTCAAATATAATAAAATTAGAATGGTGTAGCAATTTTGACAGTAGTTATTAAAACAATTTAAAGAAAAATATGTAAATAATCTATCTAAGAAAATTTAAATTATATGTATAATTTGTTATTATATTAGACATTATTGTATAAATATATGATAGAAATTAAATAGTATAAGGAGAAGAGAAATATAATTTGGATATATGTATAAGAATCTATATAAAAATTTATGTTTAACATTGTTAATATTATATACAAATTAATATAATAATTTAATTTTTAAAGCAGTTAATATTTATTATTTTTAAGCTAATCATGTATAATAATATCGATATAATAAATGAAAAATGTTATTCATTGTCCAAAAACGATTTCTTTTCATACTCCTCAATACAGTTGTAATGCATTCTATTTAAAATCAGTTGTAACCGTATACAACAAAACACAAGAACGATTTCTCATAATTTGAGTAAATTTAGTTTACAAATTGCTCTAATTCATTTTACTGTAAATGTAAGTAACTGAGGCAACAGGTCCTACTTCTAATTATTAAAATACATATATAAATCTCAAACGAGTATACCATTTAACTTTGCGAGAGTACAAAATGTTCGGTTACATCCGAACTTAGCCCTTCCTTACTTGTTAAATATATATATAACTCTATATCTATCTTGATTAGTTTTAGGTGACACAACGTTAGGTGAATAATACTAAAATACTCTGTAGCAACATGTTGAGAGATTATATTGTAAATACTAAAAAACACGCTTTCCAACACGCACATCCAATTAAGAACTGAAAAAATTTTTTTTTATATAATCTGACAATAATAATGAAAAACAAATAAATGAATTAATTGTGAGAAAAGCCTTGGGTATTTTCTTGCATGTTTTTCATATGTAGATCATATTAAGCTTTTCACCATATATCAAGCTATACCATACTCTTGCAACATGTTGCTACAGAGAGGTTTGTTCACCTAACAGTTTTTTATATCACCTAAAACAAACCGAGATAAATATGGAGTCATGTATAAATAAAAATAACTAGGATGACGAGACGCGTTGAATTTTACGGCGATTGAGTTAAAATCCGGACGTCTGTCTGTCCGTACAAGCTGTAATTTGAGTTAAAAGTGAGATATCATAATGAAACTTGATTCACATATTCGTCGGCAAAAGAAAAAGGACGAGTTGGTAAATGGACGGAATCGGACCCCTCCCACTTCCATAAAACGCCATTAATCGAAAACCTATAAAGTGCCATAACTAAGCACTAAATTATGATATAAACCGGTGATTTGGTACAGGTAACTGCAGTAGCAAGGGGCAACTGTGGACTAAAATTTTTGAAAAAATAGGGGGGTTGCGCCCTGTAATGGTTTAATTAACATATCTTCTAAGCCACTGAAGCTACGATAACCAAAGGACAATTCCTACAACCCCCGGTTTTGTTAAGGACTACTTAAAGCGGGAAAAATCAATAACCAATTTCGCCAGAGACATTAACTTTTACACTCAGGATGATACAAGATGGTCTTATAGAAGCCGGTGTCAAAATTGGACGATGGGTGTGGCACCGCTCACATTTAGGTGAAAACCCTTACCTCAGGACCTAAGTTCCAGTACGAAAATGGTCGAATTCAGGCTACAACCACGCTTACTTCTCAAATAACAATTTTAAATTCCATTTAATTATTTCACTTTCCAGTATGCAAATCTAGCACCAAATAATATATCGGAATGCAATTTTGCCCAAAAAATGCGCTTAAAGTAAGCAATTTTACGACCAAAAATTGTCAAAATCGCACCACTGTTCAAGCCGCCAGATACCGAATATGGGGACCCTAGCTCCTTCAGCGAACATATTATCGAAAATATAGGTCAATCTGTGAGATATGTTAATGAAATTTAGAACAAATCCTATAACAGTATACCTGTATGTCAGAAATGAAATGGGTTGAATCGGATGAAGACTTTTCTTAGCCGCCATACACTTAACACAAATATTTGCGAACTTCCGGTTTACATTTATACCGCATATGTCGAAAATATGTGAGTTATCTTAGTGAAAATAAGAGAGAGTTTTACTAATAACAATGTATCTTTGCGCCTAAGATAGATAAAATCGGGTTAAAACTTATAAATAAAATCACGATTTTTGAACATCCAGCTTGCTTTACTTCATTTAGACCCCATGTACCTAATATAAAATATTCAAACTTCCGGCCTTATACATACCATAGTTCGAATTACCCCCAATCCCATCTACTACATATAATGATTTTCGTTTTTCTTACTTTTGAATATGTTGTTCAGTGTGTGAGTTATATATTTTTAAAATTACTTACAAATATGTTCTCAAGTACACCTGAATATAGCATAATGATTTTCGACTTTCCACCTGACTTTAAACCGTACAGGCTGATCAAAATGTGTGATATTTTAATGAAATTAAACGGACAAGTTTCCTAAAAAATTATGTGGTTTACCAATGAATATGAATGCAATTGGTCTAGACCTAGGTCTAAGCCTCATATACCTAACATAATGAATTCCGATACTTTGGTTAACATTTTCTACATCAACTCGATATATTAAATTTAGCCTTTTCGTTGAGTTAATATCCCACATTTCTCATTTAAGAATGATTTTAATATAGTTTTCGTTGACGCGATTGTGACGAGAAACTTGTTATTTAAACTGCCCGCGCTGAATATTTCTCAGCACTTTTTTTTTCGTTAAGAAAGTAACACTGTCCTTAATTAATATAACAAAAATGAGCGTGATCTGTCAACCAGTTTGTTTGCAGCAGCTGTTGAAATCAGTCGACCTCAGTTGTGCGATTTTTACAATTGGAAAAAATGTTGAACAATGAATTTGTATAAAACTTTGCGTTTCGAACCAAACTTCGTGTGCGGAATCATTGCGAATGTTAGAAAAGACTTATGGTGATTATATTCTATTGAAAACCATAGTCTACCGCTGGTACAGAGCCTTTGAGGACGCCTCGTTTCAGTCGTCCTTCGACGTCTACCACTGACGATAACATAAAAAAGTGAAGGAAATCGTGCTCAAATAGCGTCATGCGATTGTTAGAGAGATAGCCAAACATCGGCCGTGAAGCAGCTCGTTTGACTTTGACCGATAATTTGGGCATGAGACGCGTCAATGCTCGGTTTGTTCTAAAAGAGCTAAATTTTTGCAAAAAAAAGTAGTCGTGTGCAACGATTTTAAAACCAAAAACTCGTTCAATATCATCGATCAACCACCGTATTCACCAGGTTTGGCCCCATGCGACTCTTTTTTGTTTCCAAAATTTAAGTTACCACTCCGTGAAAACCGTTGTGATTCGATTAAGGCCATAAAAGAAAATTCGCAGAGGGAACTAAAGGCAATCCCGGACAGCGCCTACAAGGCATGTTTCAATGATTGGAAAAGGAGGTGGCATATGTGTATCGCTTCAGAAGGAGTATATTTTGAAGGCGACAAAATAAATATTGATGAAGGTTAAACATTTTTCGTTTAATCTACAATTTCCGGAAACTTTCTGGTCACAATAAAATAAGAGAGTATATGACCTTCAATATAAGTTAATAATTTACCAAATTTTGTTGTTAGCCGTTCACGATTTCGTCAAATAAGGAATACCGAATTCATTTGCAATATTTTCTAATATAAAATTTTGCCAACACCTTTAAATATTTCGCCGCCTTTGATCCTTGCAAATTGCAAGAGTATAAAATGTTCGGTTACACCCGAACTTAGTCCTTCTATACTAGCTTGAATTATATTATATTTATTTATAACGAATAAGTGAGCATAAACATTCAAGTTATGACGCTCTACACTTTTACATTCATCTTTTTTGACAACGGCCAACTCAGTTTGCATTGGCCAAAAAAACTATCATACATATTACACATGAGGAAGTAGTCATCGCTATAGACATCAGGATTGCTCAGTAAGACCAAAAGAAAGACCAAGAGGCCAAGGCGTTGGCGTATTTTGCCGACGGTTAAAGAAGTTGGAACTTAGTACAAGTATGGGTGCTAACAAGAAAAGAGTTGCGAAATAAATACTTTTTCAAAATTTTTGTTTTTCTATAGTAGACCAAGTACTTATCGGACGACTCTTTAATAAGAAAACTTGTCATGGCTGTGTTTTAATTTTGTAAAGTTAACGTCATGGCAAAAAACTACAATTAATTGAGCTGCGAGGCATTGTTCAATTTGTTGTCTTGAAAAATTAAAACTCAATCATTAATTACGATGCCAGCTCATATTTAACGCGAGAATTCTGCAGCAGATGCCGGTGTATATGCTGAGAAAATAGAAAATGGTATCGGTTAAGTTTTATAAAATACTTGGTGAATGTGATTGATTTGTTCACAGTATTCTCATTCTGTCGTCTTGACGCAGTTCATACTTGTGATTTGCAACAACGTCTAATGCAAATATAATATAATATAATGTAAATAATTTTCAGTAACACTTCCTATTGGCTTTACAACAGATAATTGAGGATAAGATAATCGAAGATATTGAATTGATTAAAACTTAGCCATTAAGTTATTTGTATTAATAAGTTTACACATGCAATAACAAGTCATGTTCACATCGGCAAGTGACAAATAACAATAATTGGTTTATATGAGTACTAAGAAATTTACTTACGGTTCCCATAGAGTGGTAGTGTGCCACTAGTAAGTAAGGCATAGTAAATAATGTGGAATACATTACTCCTGCTGTCCAACTAAACACAATCACACTCAATTTAGCTCGACTTAAAGCCATCAATGCCATTCCCATGCTATAGAACAACAATCCGCCTACGTATACCACTTTAGCGCTATAATAAAAAATATTTATATATATGTATAAACATATTTAATACATCTTAATATTTATAGAAAGTGTGTAAAGATTGTGACTCTGCACATCCAAAGGCTTTAATTTTATACGAGTGAAGTTCTGTTGTGTAGGAGATTAATATCGGTCTTTCCAAAAGGAATGATATGATTTCTAAATATCGTTTCGGTCATTTTTAATATGTCATGATATATAATTTTTTTTATGTGCGAGCGAATATTTTATTATCGTCGGAACATGGATAAGCAATTAAGAAGTGCTCTGGATGTGCCGAGCCTCGATTGTGTCGTTCATTTCAAACGTCCCAATATAGCTGGTGGGGTAGCTGTCTACCATAACTCCACTGACAGAATAAATATTCTCACTCCACATATGGATATGAATTTACAACAAATTAACTGGTTGGCTGTGAATGCTACTGCAGTTGGAGATATTTGTGCGGCCGAATGTGTCATAGAAAGCAGACAGGTTGTGGCATTGATTGACATCACTCCGAACTAGAGAATCAACGATATAATAAAATTCATGCATAGAGCATTATTGGCATATACTCCTTCTAGTGCAGCAGAATTAGGAGAATATTTGCATACTATGCCAATGATTTGAAGCGGTGATTTTAATGTCAAGAATCTATCTTATCTCATAAAACTTGCTGAATAGGGTGAGTATTTTCATTTCAAGTGCCCATCGAGATCCATGAAGTTTCCCTTCTATCGCCTAGCTTTTTAGGCTTTTTGGTTTTTTCATTGTATTCAGAAATGTTTACAATTTCATCGTGGGATGATATACGCAAGAACAACGTTTACAAATTATTAAATTTTATTAACAAAATAATCGTTCTCCAATTCCAACTTCGACCGATGGCTGCGGTCCTTTTTCTATATAGAGCCGTGCAATCGCATAGAAGATCTTTAACGGTATCCTCCTCTTCTACCTTTGTCTGCTTGTTGGCAAGTCAGGGATTGATTCCACTGAGACTAAGCTCTGTTTATAATATGTCTGTCGATTAAATATCTACAAGTAGCCATAGGCAAATATGTATATGCCTTCTTTGCCGGAATCTAGTTGTAGGGTGGTGCCTGTTTGGGCTAGTTCATTTGCTACACAGTTCCCGGGGATATCACTATGTCCTGGGACCCAATGCAGTTTTATTGTGAAATGGGATGTCAGACCCGCTAAGCGATCAAAGCATTCTTTCACTGTCTCAGCGAAATCCTAGGAGACATTAGAGATCCCAAAGCCGCCTGGCTGTATGTAAATATATCTCTTGGAAAGATCACACTCTTTGTCGGTACAAGAAGGGTTTCTTTAATTGCTGTGACTTCCGCTTGGAAGACACTGCAGTGGTCTGGAAGCCGAAAGGCGATTTTGGTATCTAGTTTAGCTTCGAAGACACTGCCGCCTACTCGGTTATCTAGTTTGGAACCATCCTTATAGATGCTTATCCCTGCCTCCGTGTCCACTTCGCCCCTTTCCCACTCTTCTCTGGAGGGGAATGGGAGGGATGCACATACTGGCTGCTCTTTGTATGCTTTCGCGTATTTCTTTTCCGTTATTTGCCACCATACCAGTATACCGTAAGTCATAATCGGCCTTACACGTGTCCACACCATTCTTTTACACGTGTTAAGTGCTGTAGCTGCTTTCTTTACAGTAGCCTCCAAGCTTAGTTTCTAAAAAAGTTCCTGTCCAAAATTAGTGCCAAGTAGCTTGCCTTATCTTCTATCGCTAGCCTGGTGACACTTAATAATGGCGGCGTGATTTTTGGAGTACTGTGTTTCTCAGTGAACAATACTAGTTCTGTCTTGCTAGCATACAGGTTCAGTCCGCATGTTACGGCCCATCGATTAATAATGTTTGCGTAAGGCTAGCGAGGGGATTCGGGAGCTTGTCTCTCACCAAAACTGCCACGTCGTCAGCGTAGGCCACAACATGTACCCTCTTCTTTTGCAGATCCACCACCATTTTGTTCCCAAATCTTTAAGCGCACACAGTATGGAAAGCGCATTCTATATCTAAAAAGGCTACTAGGGTGTATTCTCTGAATTTTGAATTTTCCCTTAGAATACGCATGCTGCGAAACAGCCAGTTTTTCTGGGTTCATTTTGTTTTTGAGGTATAATTTGATTAATCCTTCTAGTGTTTTTACGAGGAATGACGAAAGTCTAATTGGTCTGAAATCCTTTGGATTAATGTGTGAGCTTATGCCTGCCCTTGGTAAATATAACATATCACCTTGACTTTCCTCCATATCGAGGGAATATAGTTTAAATGCAGTGCCCCTGGTTGTTAACCGGTTTATTATGTATCTCTGGGACTGCTTTAACTGAGCCGGGAATGACCCGTCTGGTTCCGGCGATTTATAGGGCTTGAAGCTGCCTATCGCCCAATAAACATTACTCTCTGACACTATTACCACAGGAGGTTACACTGCTACCACTTCACTGCTCAGTTTATGCTTCATTGTGTGGTTCTCGGTACTGTCTGGGAAGTAATTATCCATTAGCAGGCCTGGAGACTCTTCACTGGTCAATAGGTTCCTTTTTTCCCTACATTTAATGGAGGTTAAAAATTTATTACGATTTAAACATATTTTACATTTTGCTATTATTATCTTCATATTTGTTTTTGACAATGAAAATTCAAGCACCTGAAATTTTAAAATTCTTTTTAAAGGAGTGATTTTGTATTTTAGACAACATGTTATTGCTTTCAAGTTAATTCAATGGTTTTCCGTTGTATGCTTTATGTCATCTTACTGCTTAATGTAAAAATGTATGGGCGATGTGCATAAGTATTTTTTTTTAAATATTGCTATTATTTGTCAACATACATACATCATATACATATACATGCTATGCCAGTCCACTATGAATACTTGCTGTATAAAAAAGCAGTGGGGAAGAAAAACAAACAGATTTTAGAGAAAAAACTTCTTAATTCTTTCCTCATCAATGTCATGTTCATTAAGTTCGAATTCGTTCATTCAGGAGGATCACGTTAACTAAATTTTAGTCATATATACATGTATGAATATTCACTTGTGGAAGGACTTCAATACCGTTTTTTTACATTTGCACAAAAACTAGCAAAATTTTAATGATTACAACGATTCTTAAGTCTCGGGCTGAAAGCTGGTAGATGGAATAACATAAAATGGATAAGTTTAATATATTCACACATTATTGATTTTAGTTATCTTTCATAGCCATAAATCACATAAAACTTTTAAAACCTGATTCAATTAATTAGATATTTAACTGGATATTATTATATTACTTGAAAAGTAATTCATTCAACCATATATATATTTTTTGCTTAAAGGGTTATATCCTAACACTAATCGAGATAAATACATATATACGTATATATATATATGGCTGGTTAGTTGTATGACGTGTTGCGGTTGTGTTTCGTGAGTGATATGATGTGTTGCATTGGGTGGTATTGTACTGAGGGTTGCGTGGGATAAGTTCTGCGCAGAGTCGCGTGATCAAAAGTCGTATGATCATTTATGCTATAATAAATGAATCTGTTGGAGGTATTATAGTTTCGGTGCAGTCGATTTAATTTATTTACCTCTTATATACATCCTTTTGATGATATTTCATTGCTTTAAATGCAAAGTTACATTTAGGAAATTAATTTCTACATTTTGCATGTATGTATGTTTCTACTGCATATAAAAAAAATCGAGTTAGATATAGTTATGTATATATAAATAATCGGGGTGACGAGACGAGTTCAAATCAGGGTGACTATTTCTCCATCCGTCCGTCTAACCGTCCTGTCTGTGCAAGCGATAGATTGAGTGCAAATTGAGATATTTTGATGAAACTTGCCATTTATGTTCTTTAGCACTCAGGGACGGTTGGTGTGGCAGACGGGCGTTTTCGGACCACTGGCACGCCCACAAAACGCCAGTAAACTAAAACCTATAAATTGCCATAACTAAGCACTAAATTAAGATATAGAACTGTTCTTTGGCATAGGGGATCGCAAGAACAAGGGGCATTTGTGAACTAAACATTTCTTTAAGTGGGCGTGGCTCCGCCTTTTAAATGGTTAAACGGTTATATCTTCCAAACTCCATACATTATGAAAGTGGGTACAATTAGATAGTAATAACGCCCACTCCCATATAACGTTTATGTTGAAAATTACTAAAAGTGCGATAATTCACTGAATAAAAGCTACAAGCGTTAAATTTCACAACCAGGATAGCAGAGAATGGTTTTATTGGAGCCGGTGTAAAAGTTGGGTCGTGAGCGTGGCAACGCCCCCTGTTAAGTGAAATCCTATATCTCAGGAGCTACTTGATCAATTTCAACCAAATGGGTAATATAACAAACTTTTGAGTTCCTTATGATTCTTTCCCTTTACAGGATAAATATCAAAAATCAATGAACTTATTAGAGTAAAACTTAGCAATAATAGTGTGTCAAAGTGATTAATCTCACGCGCAAAAACTGTAGAAATCGGATTATAATTTTCAAGAACGCAGACACCAAATACGTGGACACCAGTGCATACGGCTGATTTTTTGCCGAACATATCGGTCAGTCTCTGAGATCTAGTATTGAAATGCGGGAATAATATTTTTATGACAACAGCATGTACTTGTGCCAAAAATGGGTAAAATCGGGTGAATACTCCCTTAGCCTCTAATACCTAATATAAATATTTTCGAACTTTCGATTGACTTGATACCGCATCTATCGGTCAATACGCAAGAAATCTTATTAAAATTCCAAAAGAATCTCTTTCTAATAACAGTGTATCTTCTTGCATGTGATTTAAGTAAAAATATACGAAAATACCGTAAATCATTTACATTGCGAGAGTATAAAATGTTCGGTTACTCTAGAACTTAGCTCTTCCTTACTTGTTATTTTTGTATTTGCTTTCTTCCGGCTGACAAATTTGCTGGGATATTTTGTGATTACAGATTAGAGACTGTATTCCTATTGTGAATAATAT